GGACGACAAGGAGCCCAAGCCGCAAGCGGGCCTGGACGCCGTCTCGCTCGCGAGCACCGCCAGCGGCCTGCGGAGCCCCCAGTGCAGGATCTGCTTCCAAGGCCCCGAGCAGGTACCGTACCGCGCGCGCGCGCGCGCGCCGCCCTACGGCCGCTGTTCCGCCGCCGAGCTTACGTCACGCGCGGAGAGGCGACGACAACAACCGCGGCGACGACGCCACCGCCGCGGTTCGTCTGGCCCTTCTCCTGCGAGCTGACGAGTTACGAAAAAAACAAACAAAAAAAAAACAGTTCAACAGCACGTCACGGTGGGTTACGTTTCACATTCTACCGCGGTAAGGGTCACGTTTTCACGTGAAAAGGCAGCTAGTCTACCGCGGTAAGGGTCACGTTTTCACGTGAAAAGTTCACGTTCAAACGTGAGAGGTCACGTACAAAGTTCGACGAAGCGACTGACTCCCTCGGATTCTTTTACGAATCAAAAGTACTCGCTCCGTCAATAAAATGCTGTCAAAATACATCCGCGTGTTCACAAAAGACTGAAAAAGACACACGTCCATGGAGCGCCAGCATGGGACCACTGGCGGATGCTGGCTGATCTGTCAAGGAGGGGAAGCTCAATTTCGGCCGACATCATCAAATGTGTCCGTTCGTTTAGACGTCATTCTACTCTGCGTGATCTGTGACCCTGTCAGACCAACAAGGCGTCTTTTCCAGGGACTGAACTGCAGACCAACAAGGCGTCTTTTCCAGGGACTTAACTGGTGTCCTACAACTACAGCAAGTACAATCAAGCCCACCAGAAATCAGATATTAATCTGTCGCTAGTCGTTTTCAACAGAGTTTCACTAAGATGATAAGGAGAAGCCTCCAGTTCAACTTAGAATGAGAATTGAAAAATGCTACACCAAAAGACCAGCGATTGGCTCATTTTGCTGTCAATCAAGCAGAGATTCCGCCTCAGACAGATCATCCAATCATCATGCAGAAAAGCTGAGCGTCCGGGCGGCCGATACGCGCCCACTGCCCGCTGACTCCCAGAGACGCTGAGCGTCCGATGGGCGGGACAAAAACAGCATTTATCCAATGACTGGTCTCGTTTCAATGCATTGGAACAACCGGCTCTGAACTGTTTCCATGCTCAGCGTCCGCACAGTTTAAAGCACAGCCAAGCTGCGGGAAAGAACGAGAAGAGAGTCGCGTCGTAACCAGTCATAAGAAGCTGATTCGGGACAAAAGTTGAGCACGTTGTCGCGCACATTTAGTCAATGACGTGTCCACACAATTGTATGCGCACACCTCGATTTGATGACTTATTTTTGGACTTTTTAGGGGAAGCTGAGCTTCCCTTGCAGTCTTAGAGCAATCGCCTCTGCATGGGACCCCCCCCCCCAA